AAAAAAAAGACACAGGCAACTTATCACAAACAGAAAAAAAAGCCATCACTGTTTCTTTTATTTATTATACCCTGTGTGGATTGTGGCTTCTAGGGCCAATTTTGGGATTTGGGGGGAAGGGGCGGGGGGGGGGGGGGGGGGGGGAGGGAGGAGGGGGGGGGGGGGCAAAAAGAATTATCCCATTGCTCTTTAACAAGCATGTCATAAAAGGCAATAATTCATTTGCTGAAATCAAATGTGTTAGGTTGAGGTGCACAAAATATTGCAGCCTAGGTGTAAACAACAATACCGCGTGCCAATCGCTCTTCAAAGGGCAAACGAACAAAAATATTCACTATGAGAAAAAAAAAACTGGATCACATTGATAACAGGAAGTCTTTATGAAAGAGAAATAGAGGAAGGTGAGAGTGGTATCTGGAAAAGAAAGACAACCAAAAAGCAGCCATAGTTTTTTTTAATGAATTATTGAGAAATATAAATTTACAGCCAAGTTCCCCCCCACCCCCCCCCCCCCCCCCCCCCCACCCCCCCCCCCCCCCCCCTCCCACCCCCTTCCCCCCCCCCCTACCCCCCCCCCCCCCCCCCCCCCCCCCCACCCTCTCTTCCCCCAGTCTGAACACATGCACAGACATATGTATACACATACACAGCTATACTGATCTATGGCAGTGACCTTGCATTATCTATGACAGCTGGACAATTACTTATAGCTTCCTTACATAAAACAAATATCTGAAAGACTATGTGCAGGCTTATATACAGTCAAAATCTCAAAGAAAATTATACCTTCCCTAAATATTGCCAATATTTAATTTACTACATGTACTTTCCTTATATGAGGCCAACAGCCAAAGGACTATGCACTTTACTTATTTATCGCTAGTGTATGGAAGTATATGTAGCCCCCTTACATATAGCCAATAATAGAATGACTATACCTCTTTACTTTTATATAGCCAGTGTTTGAAAGACTATATATAGCCTCCTTACATACAGCCAACAAAGGAAAGAGTCTTTACTTGTATATAGCCAGTAAAAAAAACTATATTTCGTCTCCTTTTACATAGAAAATATATGAAATACTATTTGTAGCCTCTAACTATAGTAAATATCTCAAATACCAGGGCTTTCCTCTAGGAAAAAAGGTTTGGTACTCATCACATATGCCTAGTACAGTAGTTCTATTACATACAGTAGTTCTATTACATACAGTAGTTCTATTACATACAGTACTATTTTGAGCGGGGAAAAACATAACTCATCTCAAAGACTATGTAGTTTACTGATATATAGCTAAGTATTTAAGACTATATGTAGCCTTTTCACAAACGGTCACTTTATGAAATCATAATATGCAGCATACTTTTATTTAGTCAAAATCTAAAAGACCATATGGACCCAACATCTGAAAACACTATCTCTATCTATCTTCTTTTACCCCACCAGGACATCACCCAAGCGATAAACATCCAAAGACACAAAGTGCCACCATATGGATAAGGATAAACCGTGGAGAGGTCCCAGAAACCACGTTCAGCCATTAGACCATATTTATGGCCGGGCTATATTGCGGCCCCTGGCAAGAGCCAGAGTAGAGCTTCAACTAACGAAAAATTGCATCCCATTAAGGGATGACAAGATATAAATTGATTTGAAAACACTACAGACAGCCTCCTTACATGGCAATATCTGAAAGACTAGTAATCTGCAATATAAAAAATAAATGCACCTCACAGAAATACTTGTTATAAATCACACATACACACAAAATCAAATTGTTTGCTTCTAACTACCAACCAAAATCATCAAATATACCTCAATGGAATTGTTTGATGAGTGTGATGAATAAATACACAGATCAATGTAACAAACTAAATATGTAATAACAAGCTACATATGTTTAGAGAAATTCTACATGTTCTGTTAATGTTTTCTATATATGAATTCTATATTTCACATACTGTCAAGCCATGAAGATGTTATGACAATGAAGTCTATCTGATATTTACAATGATATCAAAACCATAAATTTTGAGCCATTGCACTCATCGAATGACATTTGGTCTATGCAAATAACTGTCTAGCATCATATACCTGATGTGCTAATGGCATCAGAAGGGTCAATTCTTTTACCACAGCAGTCTCAAACCTGTGGGTACACCCCAAACATCAGACCAAAAATAGCAGAAATCATCAAGACAGAACAGTGTCAGCTGTCACATTGACATTTGGACACTAAATTACCAGTTGTTGGTGACTGTTTCTTGTTGTTTTTTTGACACTTTGATCAATCTGCATATTTTTCCCCAGTTCATGTTAACAGTAATAAGGATTTCTCTTTTTTTATCCTCCTCAATTTAAATTTTTTTTAAATGTTTGGTGCGGTAGGGGGTACAAGGTGGGGAGGGGGAGAGCACTGCTTTACCACATCAGAAAAGGAGTGGCTGGTGACCATTTAAGAATGCTTGGTTCTCATTCAAGAGATCCCGGTTTGAATCCCCAGTAAAGTGATATTTTGGTCAGGGGCAAAAACAAAGTTCTAACCTGCAGAGACTGTGATAACCGCACTGGCCATTACTTTAAACAATAGCAAAAATTGAAATAGCAAAACTAATGAGTAAGATAGGCTGGAGTCATGCTACAGCTAGCCAGGATAGGAGTTAAGAGACCTAATATTACAAGAGTTGCAAATGAGTAGGTTAACGATACAACATGAGGAGTCTTAAGTAGACAGAGTGGGCTAATGTTACAACTGACTTCACATAGGAAGAGTTCAGGGAGTGGGCTAATGTTACAACTGACTGGAACAGGAGAGTTAAGTAGACAGAATGTGCAAATGTTACAACTGACAGTGACAGAAGGAGTTAAGGCGGATAGAGTGGACTAATGTTACAAATAAATGGCACAGGATTAATTTAGCTAACACGTTCTACTGTTACAACTGAATCTAATAGCAGGTGTTGAGGCATACAAGGATATGCTACAACTGGCTGGAGCAAACAAAAAAGAAATGTGTTACCTTCATAATTCTTGAAAAACAAATCATTTTTTTGCAGACAGAAATACACTCTTGATGTCCCATTAATAACACGTTTTAAGCAGTAATGGTAAGACTAAGAGGACATGAGACAGAGCAGCTAAAGAGATATGGATTAGGTCTAAATTAATAATGTCATACCAGGAGTAGTGAAATAAGAAAGGGAAATAAACAAAGCTGGCAATGCTTGCAGATAAAACCCTAACATATTCAGGAGGCCAAAACATAAAAAGATTATGTAAAAAAAAAAAAAAAAGCAGTGTATGATCACATATTGACAAAATATTAAACCGTCATTTGGAAAGCCTGAAGCAGAAAATCATTTCACACACAAGATAAGCTGAGAAAATATGTTTGCCTCATCATGCACTAGTTCTAAGACAGAGCCAATGTCTAGGAATAAAAAAAAAAAAAAACTTCCTTAAAAGGTTTGGAAAAGAAAAACCGATAAAATGATGATACTGATACTTTTATAATAATAAATGTAAGGAATACTGAAATTTAGCATCTGTTGCTCCTAGAAAGTCTAAGGGGTCTCACAGGACAGCAGGCCAACCTAAGGTAATAAATAGGGTAGCCTTAGGATGCCCCAATATAACTATTTTATTTACTAGATGTGAAGTTTGTTCGCATATCATATACAAGACCATAGGTTAGTCTTGTCACACAGTAGTTCTAAACTATGATATAACCAATTTGTAGGCATCAAATGCATCTGAGTTTAGACAATAACAACAATTATATTATAATTCTGAAAATATGACACTTAGCTTTTGAACTGGAATGCTATAGAAAAACTATTAGAATGCTGTAGACCAAAAAGAAGAGAAACCCAGATATCCTACTTGATCCGAACATAGAGGGAAATTGGCTCATAAACAGCATCAGTGCTTTCGTAATAAGTCACCCAAACAGACAGTCCAATATTTCAGGGTGTGGTAGATGGGCTGCATACAGTCATGGGACCTAGGCTGCACTCTCATGTTGTACGTAAGTGGATTTGGGTTAGGTCCTGTTCTAGATGTTTTGGGGTAGTTAAAAGCAACCACAAAGCCGGGAAACCCAGTCTTAACATCCTATAAAATATTGGACTGTCCCTGTGATGTCATCTGGGGTGACTTATTATAAAAGAACTACGTCTTATCTAAAAGCTGAGGTTTTTTGGCCATGTTAAACATCATGGTGGCATGGAGAGAACAGTTATGTAGGGTGCAGTTTCTGAGAGAAAAAAAACAGAGGCAGAGGCTGACCTCTGGAAACATGGATGCAAGACAATGAAGATGCATTAGCTATGAAAGCACAAAGAGCTGGAGAACTAGCTGCAGAAAGACTTTTAGACACTATATGATGAAAGTGATGTTCTGTAAAGAACCTGCTGGTAGATGGTGATGACACTAAAATTAATACAATAATTAATGTCAGGACAATGATAATTGCTGTGAATGGTCCAAGGGACCTCACCCACACAGGATGGCAGGCGAAGTCAAGGTAATAAATAGGATTGCCTTAGATTGCCCTAATATAACTTATTTTATTGGGTTGAATGGGGTATGTGGTGTCTGTTCCTGTTGAGCTGGCATTCAAAATATGGCTCTTTGAATCACTGGGTGTCAAAGATTCATGGTTAGGAAAAAAAATCCGAAAAAAAAAATGTAATGCCCCTAAGGAGAAGACAAAAACATAACAAATGAGCACTGGCATTGTACAGCAACTATTGCTGTGATAATAATTATCATGACCATCATATATACTTGCTGATGGAGACTGATCACAAATGTGGTTTGTCCTGAGTGCCATGATGCTCATTAACGGAATGGGCAATAAATAAATTGTGAAAATTAATTATTTTGATCTGAGAGACACAAAATCACTCAAAGAAAGAATTCAGGCATAGCAAATGTCAAATAGTTGCACTGATTTCCTAAAAATGAACTCAAAATTTGCATTAATGTAACCCATTTGTTCATCCATCATTCCACCTGTATTTAAAAAACTGATTCTGTTTCCACAAGTTACATTTATGGAAATATTCAGAAGTTACAGGTGTAACTGTGACATCATGGCTAAAGATGCCAACATTGACATCAGCAGTGTCCCATCTCGATGCGTCTGGATGACTTGACCTGACAAAGGTCATAATCTCATCCCTAATAACATTCTGGAAGTTCACCTCCCCTTGACCTACTTTCAAGTTCAAATCCTGGAAACTGTCAAAAAAGGCGGCAATATCCCAGCCAATAAATGTTTCCTTCTCAGTGCCTGCAAATTTCATGTTCTGGGATGGGTACAATTCAGTTATGTACATATACACCGGGGCAGAGCCAGAATACAAATAAATAAAATCGTCTGCAAGTATTTTCACGGGGCATATATCTTTAATATCCCCGATGATGTGAGAAAACTGGGCACTTGGAGTCGAGGGAAATCTGCTGGGACTGATGTATTTTAAGATGTCCTTATCTGAATAGAGAGACTTTGCTGTTTTAATGGCATCTGCACCCAGCAAGTCAACAAGATGTATCATCATATCGTCATAATCCTTCCATGTCATGTTGACTACGGCCGCTTCTGTCTTCAAACTGCTGAAATCAAAGTAGGCTGAACCTAATGAAAAGAAATAAAAACATTGAGAAGCTTTACTCTTTTAGTTTCAGAAATGTGTACAATAGTCAATGAGGAGTATAGTTTAAAAAACAGAAAGAAAGAAAGAAAGAAAGAAAGAAAGAAAGAAAGAAAGAAAGAAAGAAAGAAAGAAAAAAGAAAGATAAAAGAAAGAAAGAAAGGAAAGAAAGAAAGAGAAGGAAAGAAAGAAGAGAGAAAAAAAAAGAGAGAGACAAGAAGAAAGAGAAAAGAGAAAAACCAACCAGACTTACTCCAGGGAACTCACACCGAAAGAGAGAAAGAGAGAAAGAGAGAAAGAGAGAAAGAAAGAAAGAAAGAAAGAAAGAAAGAAAGAAAGAAAGAAAGAAAGAAAGAAATAAAGAAAAGAAAGACACCCTATCAAGCATGTTGTAAAGGCTTAAAGGTTCGGATAAGACCACCTAGCTGTAAACCATAATACAGTGTGCTAGACATCACTTTCAGGGTGAGCACAGGAGAAAAAGCACTGTTGCATTTACAGAGGAGGAGTGATACTCTGACTTATTTAGCAGCTGAAACTTTCAACTTCTTCCTGACATTTCTTGGCCTGGCTGTCCTTTCAGAGTTTTTCTTTTCTGATACTTATCACATCAGTCACGTATCAGTACATATCAGTCACGTACTACTGAAGTCAAACAAAAACTATGAGCCTATATCCTATAGCTGGAAATCTTAAATTTGAAAATATTTTGGCAAGGAGGACTTCCTTTCTATATTCATCCAAAATATCAAACCGGTATAGTTACTTTGTGTTTTGCAGCACAAGTGGGGGAGGGGCACTTTCAACTTCTTCCTGCAGTTCTTACCTGGGTTTTCACTTTAGAGAACCTCTTGTCTGTTACTGACCCCAACAGCCACATAGTACTGCCAGATCAAGAGAATATGAGCCTATCTCATATCTGTAGTCTACTAAATTGCTATGAAAATCGCAAATTTAAATTATTTTAGATATTTTTATTAATGAAATAAAAAACTTAGTCAATTATCGCAAAAAATTAAATAACAATGAAGAACAAATATAAATTAAAATTAATTATGGCTATTTTGGTTAAATACGGTTAAATGTTTTGTAAAGAAACTCACCAAATACAACAGGCACTACTGGACCATCAGGTCCTGATTTCTGAGATGACCAGTGAACCACATGACCTGCAGAAGAAATTAACAATATAGAGTACACCAAAACACTGAGGGCTAATTACAAGCTGCTGTTTAAAGCAAACCGAGCAACTCATAGATGTTCATGTTGTTTTATCTTTGTTTTAACACTTTGTCTTCTTTCAGCATCAATTCATTAATGTTTTCACAATTTTTGCTACGTGCAATATGAGTGTTCCTTCCACTGTTGTTTTTTTTTGCTTGCCAAAAATGTCTACTCTTGCATTACCTCATACTCCTGCATGTCTCGGACACTACATCCAATGAGTCGAGTCCTTGAAATGATGATGTGCTGATGTTTGGTATCTACTCATGCCACATACTATGCTAGGCATAAACAGTAAATTCAGTGAACAAATAGGAAAAAAGTACACAAACACACATGTAGAAGTTGCTTAAACATATCTATTACATATGATCATATAGAAAAAGTAAAAGAAAATGATATATATCCATGTATCAACATACTGGATGTTTAATATACAAAATTTAAAGTAAGTAAAAGTATGGAAATGGTAATTATTATAATGGGTATATTATGAGGAGAAGTGGACAGAGAATGGTTGGCCATTTATTTTTAGCCTAAAACAGGACACCCCACTAATATCTTGAGCTGAAAAAGGGACATCCTACTAAAAGTCTGAGCTGAAAATGGGACATCGCAAGCAAGTCAGTTTAAATCCCCAACCCCTTTTTTTAAGGTCACCAGGGTAAACGAGTTAATTACTATCTCAATTGTGGTATTAAAACCAAACTCTAGTCACTAAGAAATAAACAAAACTTTAACTGTACTGAAAAAAGTATAATGAAAATTCTCATCAACACATTACAAGCATCTGCAACTTTTAAATCTAATAAGGTCGAAAGATAAAACAATAAGTTAACTCTTTGAGTCCCAGGGGGTTTAGCATCACAGACCCAAGGGGTAGTCAAGAGAGACGTAAAATTGGCGCATCATGCATTCATTGGGCTTCTAGACAGTAACCTATGAACGAATGATTCGTTCCTTGGGACTCAAAGAGTTAATGTTATATTTTAAAGCTTATTCCTGAAGTTTTTATAAATCAGGACAATTGGCCGGGACACACTAAAAAATGTAATTGTCCTAGCAAGAATGGGATGTATGGTCACCCTAATCTAAAATACTGAAAGCACTGCAAAGGATAGAATGGAATGGAGGAAAAAAAATAATTGAGGAATAGAATGGAATGGAGGAACAGACTGCTGCCCATTAGGATGTATAATGGTACAACAGGAGATGATGATGATGATAATGATAACAGTAAAGGATACTTATCCATACACTGAATAAATGGTCTTAGCGCCCCATTGTGTGGGGTGAAAAACTGCAGACCTCACTGAGTCCCTAACAAGCATGTCATAAGAGTAGACTAATTAGGGGTTTCTTTCAAAGTTGGGATGCATCTGCCTGGGAAGCGTGGAACCACAATCTGTATATGAATAAGTCATATGTAAAATGGATGTGCATGCAAAACTAATGAAAATAAAGTCCAGAAGTGGAGGAACAACAAGAACTTTCCACACGAGTTTACAGCTGGTGAATGCAAAGAAGAAGGAAACTAGTTTATACTGAAAAAGAATGAAACTGGTAGATATCAGTTTAAAATAAACTCTCCAGAACATAACAAAACACTGACATTTGAAAAGTCAGTTGTCCAACATACCATCAAATATGGGCAGATCGTTTCTGAGCTGGCTTTTCTGTGGGATACTGAAAAGCTCATCAAGAGTCCACTGAGCCTGAAGTGGCCATGGAGATGATCTTGATATGACCTCTGCGGTTAGCTGGCGGAGACAGTGTGCATCCTTACAGCCTGTGTTCTGCATGAACACACTGTTGTCTCTGCAGGCTTCATCTGTTAACAATAATAATTTATTATCTCTGATATCTGACAATAACTCATCCTTGAACCAACTAATATGGCAAGTCAAATATCACTGCGTGGGTTCTGGGACCCCATTGATTAAAAATGGGAGAGGGGGATAGAACCACTAACCCTATAACAAGCATGTCATAAGAGATGACTAATCAGTAGTTTGCTGACATCGAATGTGTTGGGACCAAAGGCGTGGATACTGCAGCATAACTGTAAACCACAACACAACATGGTGACCACCACGCATAATTATCTCATCTTGGTTACATTATAAAGCATAAATCTGTATAATTGCCTCCTCTTGGTTATTTTATTAAGCATAGAATTTATATAATTGTTACCATCTTTTTTGCTTACTACAGCTATACTTCATGTAATTCTACATATAAATATCGGTCCCTCTCTTGGTTACTTTTATTAAGCAAATCCTTAGCTAACAGTCAAGTAAAGAAAAATGAATTTTTCCACAGCATAGGGCATATACTGTTAGACCGATATTTAAAAAAACTAACTGGTACTCTATGTGTGTTATGGTCAACATCTCATGCCAGCTGCCTTAACTTCTCTGGATCTTACTTGCTACCCATTTTAGGTCGGGTTGACCTGAGAGACCAAGGTCAGTTTTGAAAGAATTCTGCCTGGATGCAGATTTGAACTTTGCAGTTTTGGGTTGGCAGGTGAGCATCTAGCTGTTACATTACAGTGGCTCCCAGTGGTCTGCTAAAGCATAACTAAATCTACTGTCCTGCTCACAAAGCTAGCCTATGTTAACTCACTCAGTACCAACCAACTCACCATTTTTTTGGGGTGTCAGCTGATTTGATTTACTTGTCTGAACCTCTTGCGAGCTCACCAGATCTTACATTCTGTCATTATTCTTACTTTTGTTACTCTTTTTCGTTCCAAGCAAGGCACCATGATCAGCTAATGTTTTTATGTGCCTAGCAAGACTTTGTGTGCTGTTATATACATTTAATGTATGGTCTGGGTGTGCCAAAGAAATCTGGCATATTATTCTTCACAGTGAAAGTTTAAACTGTGAACATGATACATTGTTACTTTTTAATGCTGGTTCTGCACAACTTGGTGGTGAATTGATGTATGACAAGCTAGATGTTGTGGGAGCCCTTTGAGAGTTAGTGAACAGTGCGGAGGCACAAACAGATTATTACAGTTTAAGGAGAATGGTGCTGCAGGGAGTTACCAGGGGATTTGTCCAACACTCAAAGGAAAGGAGAGATGGATGTAAAGTCAAACAGTTACTGGTACCATCAGAACTGGAATTCTTCAGTTGATGCTGAAAATGGGGATGGAGCACTTACGGGAGTGTTCCATGTGCCATGATGTCAATTCCTCATTTCAACATACCTGTTAATGTCATTTTTGTGCAGATTGAGCTTCTGTTGTGAAATGACCTGGAACTGAAAGAGTTAACTCCTGTCCCATAGTGTTCTAAGCTGGCCAAAGCTATGTAGACCCAGAAGTGTATTAGTCGAAGTAAAATTTTTTTTTAGAATTTAACTGATTACTGATTTGAAAATCCACATCAAGGCACACTGGGCATAACTATAAATTTTTCGTCTCCAAAAGAAAATGTTTTCAAGTGTAGATGCTAACTGTTCTTGTAGCACACTGATTATACCCTCATCTCTACCTTCCTCTCATGTACCTTCTTGTCAGATCCACTCCTAATTCCATGTCAACCCATTCTTAACTACATTATTTAATCTAATCTTAAGTCTTCTATCAGCATTCATTTATAAATGGTCGTCAGAATGTCTCCTATGTCCAGTACGAGTGTTTTTGTAGCTATCACTTTTGTCGCCAAACTATACTCTTTCATTTGTTTGCACTCCTGCCTATCCCGGTCAGTATATCCATGTGACTGCCTGTAATGTTGATGTGCTGATGTTTAATATCCACTCAAGCCACCTTTGTCCATTTGGAATCTTTCGCAGTAAAAAATGAAAATCAGACAATACAGTTCCTCTGATTTTAAAGTATAACTAGTTAAAGTAACATGTTTTGGCACTGAAAAATTCAAGGAGCCTTAAAAAAAAGAAAGCAATTAGTAAATGCAATGTTTTCTGATGGGAAATTATTGCAAAAATAATTAATGTCAGTTGAAAACAAATCTATATTTATAATTTAAGTATCTGCTTACCAACGGTTTTATTCAGAACAGCTACTGGACCAGTCAGCCAAGCCTTGTGGAAAAGTCCACTGCTGCCGGCAGATGATAACATGGCATGAACTGACGTTGCTCCAGATCCATGACCGAAAATTGTGACCTGTAGCAGACCAGAAGTTAATTATCTATTATTATTGTTTAAAGTAGGAGTCGCCGTGGCGTAGCAGCTAGATGCTTGTGTGTGGATTAGAAGGTCCTGGGTTCGCTCCCTGGTGGAGCTGGACTTTTTTCAAAAATGACCTTGACTCCATGGTGGACCCAGCCTTGAGTGGGTACCGGGTGCAGTCCTGGAAAGTGAAGGCGGCCAGCGTGATGCTGACTGCATCACCCATTTTGTGCCGATTGGTCTATACAAATATAGATCTAGCCCTATATGAACAATACACCTAAAGTCATGGAAAGAGGACCTTTACTTTACTTTATTGTTTTAAGTGAGTCTTTCATCATTCTTATCTACATTAGACTGAAGTTTTCCAGGATGGCACTAGGTGCAGCTATTACTGTCGCTCAAATTAAAACTTTGGGAGGTTAAACAGGATATGTTGGAGTGATCAAACCAGATAGTAGCCAGGTGTAGGAGAAACAGACAAACAGACAGCCACTATGTCTGTTGTAGAAAAATGACAATCATTTTCTTCATAGAACTGCAGGATTGTGTAGTCTTTTTAGATGCCCTAATAATAATTTCTTTGGAGGTGGAACAAGATATCTGGGATTTGCCTAGTTCATATGTCAACCAGGATGATGCAACTCTTGAACCACAGGGGTGGTCACATTTTCAGGTAGTAACTCACAAGAGGTAAACAGACCTAGAAAGACAGGCTGATACTATTACGTGTCTTATTACTGTATAAACTGATGCATTCTAAAGTAATGAAAACCAATCAAGGAAATAATAATCCAGCTTTTCTTGATAACACCTCACTTCACAGAGTGGAATTATTTACATATTTAGTTCGTAATATAAACAAATTGTTTGGGGTGGGATGGAAGGGAGGGGGGGGGGGGGGTACATATCAAAAATTATAATGTAAAAATAAAGAGAGTAGTCTTTATAATTTGTGATGAGTAAGTAATTTCAATTTAGAATCACTATTTTAGTGCTTAACTCTTAACATTAAATCAATTTTCACATATTTTAAAACATGCTAATAATGTTAGTGTGATTGATTAATTGATAGGTTGGCTAGTTGATTATTTGATAGGTTGGTCAGGTGGTTGACTGATAGGTTGGTTTGATTGTTTATTATCTGGTTTTTTGATTGCTTTTTTGACTGATTGGCTTGATTAATTTTTAAACATGCTATAAATTAGGACTGGTTGCTAGGTCAGTTTGGTTGGCTGATTGGTTAGTTAGTCAGCTGTTTGACTGATTGGTTGTTGTTTGGTTGGCTGGCTGGTTTAGCATAATCCTCTGGAAGACTTGATTTAACTCTAATTTAGATGCTGAGGCCTTCAGGTTATGTGGGTGATGAAAACAGGTTTGCAAATATTAAAATGAAACCAATCTATATACCCTCCCTCCCCCTGATTCTATGTTAAAGTACCATTTCCACTTGGAATGTGTTGCAAGGCTCTTCTTTCTCTCTCCAAGATCAGAAACCAGTGGAATGTATTAAACTGGAACTAGAACTTGAGGAGAGGCAAAACAATATGTAACCCGGTCATCATTGAATATACATACATTCTTCATGTTGGTTCTGGGGCCTCATTATTGGGGGAAAAGGAAGAGACTCATAGCCCCCCAGGAAGCATGTCACCAAAAATGACTTAGGGAATTGCTGAAATCAGATATGTTGGGCCAAAAAGTGCAGATATTACAGCCCTGTTGTAAAGCAATAGAAAGAGTGCTAACCGCTCTTTTAAAAGCAAACACAGCAGAAGAAGATAATGAAGTTCAACTGGGGAATGCGCCCATAACCTTCTGCATGCTAGGCAGATGTGATGACCACTACACTGCAGAATCATACAGAAGAAGAAGAAGAAGAAGAAGAAGAAGAAGAAGAAAGAGAGAAAAAGTACTAGAAGTATAATACATGCATATTGGCTAGGGTTAGGTCGAGATGGGCAGTGTTTCCTTTACAGGGTTTAAACATTTTATTATCAATACACTTCATCTACGCTAATAAGAAACTCATTAGCGATTAAAAAAAATTATCAAAAATTTAATTATTACCATATTTTCATCTCCTCCAAACTGACGAATGTTGTCCCTCACCCACATAAGCACCAGCTGCTGGTCCATAAACCCATAATTTCCAGCAGGTCCCCTGGACCCCACTCTCAGCTCATCCAGGGCAAGAAAACCTAAAGCTCCCAGTCTGTAATTAAAACTGACGTACACAGAATTGGTAGCCACAGCAATCTCTGGACTGGGGGACATGCCTGGCATATGCCCTGAACCATAGACGAAATCTCCTGAGTGGAACCACACCAAGACAGGAAGGCGTGTCTGTGGGTTTAAAGATGGAGACCAAACGTTCACGTATAAACAATCCTCACTGCCTTCAATGGCCGATACGTTATCGAACTTGGGCTGAACGCATTTGCTACTGAATGCTATGGCAGGGTAAATGCCGTCCCAACATGTGTTGGTGTCAGGGCTTCTGGGTACTGGAGCTTTCCATCGTCTCGAGCCAGTGGGTGGAAGAGCATAAGGGATTCCTTTAAACACGTAAGCCCCTTGCTCTTGAGTACCACGTACAAGACCACATGACGTTGAAACCACGTTGTCACCAAAGTTCTGGAAAGAGAAGAGAAATACATGTTACATCAATAGTTTGTTTATCACCTTCTACAGTTTAATTATCACATTCTACAGTTCAATAATTACATTCCACATTTCAGTTAGCATTTTCTAAACTTCAGTTATTGCTTTCTACAGTTCACTTATCCTATTGTACATGTTGGACTAGAGGTTGGTGAATAGCTTTGACAGTTTCATGATCCTCGAGTACCAAGGTTTCATTTCAGTGAGGGATGGTTTAATCTTTTTCCTGATTTTATGAGTGTGGAGTGAGAATCACATCATGAAAGGGACTGGGGCTTCTTCTTTCTTTTGTCAAAATCTGCTTGTGCCGCTAGGCGTCGCAGTCTATCAGATGATCGGCAACCGAGCCAGGGCGCGCTCAGTCGCTTCATTTGCCGTGATGTTATGAAGTCTCAAGTTGTCCGTGACTCCTTCAATCCATCTTCTTCTTGGTCTTCCCCTGCCTCTTGGTGTTTCGATTTTCATGTTGTGTGCTCTTGATGCTGGCATCGTTGGTTCCATTCTCATTAGGTGACCAAACCATTTCATTCTTTGCTTCTCAATAAATTTAACGATGGGTATGGTTCCAATAGTTCTTGTAATCACATCGTTTCTCACTCGATCTCTTCTGGTTTTATTCGCAGCCATTCTCAAACATCTCATTTCACAGGTGGGGCTTCACAATGTAATTATACCGAAGACAGTAACTAACCTACATTGTGGAGATGGCTAACATTTGTTTAAATTGTTTGAATTTGAAAACAAGTCTAGTACACTTGCCTGCAAGCATGGTAATCACAGATTTCAATATCCATTAAGATGGCATTTTGTTAATTAACCTGAGCGCTCAGGCTGACCCAGCTTAAAAGGGGTACCAGAAACCATTATGTTGGGGTAAAGGCGGCTAATGTTAAACAGTTAAAATCACCAAGGGATAGCTGATTGGTCCATAAAGCTAAGTGGCTGACACATAAAGCCTAATCTGCCTAAAATGACATGGAAATGTCATTCTAGCCAGTTGGCAATACGATGAAAACCAAGCTGTATGGATCAGTGGAGGACCTGTGTTGCACCACAGCCTTTACAGTACTGGCAAAAAGAATGAAAAGAAGCAGAATATGACATTCTTGCCACTGCCATACCATGGTTTCCAGCTCCAGTTTTGGAAGTTAAACATCCCCCAGTAAGTTCCGATTGGTCTATACAAATGAGTCTAGCATCATATGTCCAATGCACTATTGGTGTAAAAGGGTCAGTTACTTACTTTAATTCATGTCTCTCTAATCAAAACATAAAGATGACAACAATAATAATAACGATGATGATAATAATAACAGACTCACTTCACTGCCTCTCAAAAGAGGGTCCATGTTTCATATTCATAATGAGAGGGCAGAAGGGCACAAGAGACTTTTCCAACTTATTCTCAAGTTATTCGGTACTGGAAACACTGAGATGTGTCCCTGCAACTTGGCACATACAAATGCTGAGTATGTATTACAACACTGTAGACTAGGGCTATTCAACTGGCAGCCTGCTGGTCAAATCTGGCCCACAGAGTCCTAACAAGTGGCCCACGTATCACTGACAGTTGCATTGTTTTAGTTATCTTTCTATGCTGGGACTGGGGTCATTGGCCCCTGAGCACCCACATTTTCAAAATGCTCCTGAGTAAACTTGGTTGAATAACCCTGCTGTTTTGACTGTATGATACTAACAGAGAGGTCATCTGGTCTGTTCCAACTTCAGTCAAACAAACAAAACTGTATGGCACATGAGATTTGAACTGCATGATAGCTTTCATCAAGTCTACTTTTTCTTTTTCTCTACTTCTTCAGCATTCCAAGCCCTTAAGGTTCACTGTTGCATATATCACCTGCCTACATTCATTTCTCTGGTTGACCTTCTCTTTCAGGTTGGTGACATCAAGTGTTTGCAGGTCTCTCGTGACATTTTCTATCCATCATCTTTTTGGTCTGCCTCGTGGTCTATGATCATTCCTCTTACTTGTGTATACAGTTTTTATCTCTCTGTCATCTAACATTCTCTCAATATGCACCAGCCATTTCAACCATTAGCTTGCATGACACCAGTGATCATCGGTGAATTAAACAGATTATGAATTTCATTGTTGCTTCTCACTCAAGACTACTGGCCTGCTTATATAAGGTTTTCTGACAGAAGGATCGAAGAAGATGAAACCTATAACACAAAGCTGTATAGTTTAATGTGTTTACATATTTACTGCTAGTATTTTATTTCCCTGTTATGAAGTGTGTAAAGTGCTCCTATGCTATTTAATTTGAAACCACATCATTGACCCCCCCCCCCCCCCACCCCATCTTCATATGTCTTGTTGTAAAGCATGTACGTCAGTTCCCTGTGTGGGTTCCAAAGTCCCATTTTGGGAGATGGAGGGAGGATAGGATGGACTCACTCTAACAAGTATAAAACAAAAAGTTGAGAGATGAGAAACCAACAGTCTATAAACAAAAATGCCAGATCTCTCAATGGATGTGTATGCAAAACTCATGTTCTGGAACAAAACAAAAATCCAGAAGTGGAGGAACAACTGGAACTTTTTGTCAGAGTTAAAGCCAGTGAATGGAAAGAAGGTAATGTACCTCAGTACTGACTAATGAAATGTTAAGATGATAACAGTAGCATGGAAATATTGTAAGTATTTAAATATTTGTGTCAACAGTAACTGTTAAAATAGATAAGGTACTTACTTGAGATTCATAATTAAGGTGAGTCTTGCCATCTGGATAAAGGACTCTTCCTTTGTTAGAGGGTAGGATAATGAAAACGTAGATGGTAGTGAATGCTATAAGGACCACGCAGGAGATCAGTAAACAACATATGATGACGTGGATCTTAGAGAGGGTCAGTTCCTTTTTGTTGTCTAATTTTAAATGGGCTTTAGAGCTTGTATCATTATGGTTAGCACCATCCCCCTCCACATCACGCTCGTTCAGTTCTTTGACAGCGGTTGGTCTCATCGCTTTGTATTTGCCACTGTCAGATTTAAGTCGCCAGATAGAAGTCTTCTGAGATTTTGACTTAGATTTCACTGAATTCTCCACATCAACTTCTGTATTGTCCATCTGACTAGGGTATTGTGATAACTGTGATGAAAAAGCTGCATCCCTCAGAGATGTCTCAGAGAGATTTGCATTCCAGGGTTTGTCAGCGGCAGAAGGAGACCCAAGCTCCTCATTCAAGTGTTTGTACCCAGCGGTGGCCATAGTGTTAGAGCAGTAGGATTCTCATCAATGTTCAAACTGGGTCAAGTGTAATCTGCAATAGAAAGAATGATTTTATAATAGAAAAACATAATGCATGTGGCACACTGTTACAACACAATTTATTTACTAAACGGTGGACACTAGGAGTTTGTTGAGAGTCTATGCTGTTTTGGGAGGTGAAAGGTTGAAAAAGTTAAGGAGGATGAAGAGCAGTAAGAAGAAGAACATGAGCAAGATACATAAATGCAGGATATAAAAAAATATGGCAAGAATATAAATATTGTATACAGTACTATTAACTGTGCGATGCTAATGAATGTGTTGAAATGGGAATATGAGCTCCTATGTCCGGAGTGCTGTGTAACTCATAACTCAATAAAATGTTTACAACAGGTCCCATAGAATAAAGTACAAATAATTTAAAAAATATATAACAAATTTATTTTAAAAGATCTTTGGTATATCATTTGAAGACTACATCCCACATGACAAGGTTCCTGGAGCATTACTCAATGCAGTGGCAACACATAACTAGGTTTCTGTAGCATCACTCAGTGTAGTGGCAACCAAGGTCCGGTAGCATCACTCAATGCAGTGGCAACACATAACTAGGTTTCTGTAGCATTACTCAATGCAGTGGCAATATATAACTAGGTTTATATAGCATCACTCAATGCAGTGGCAACACATAACTAGGTTTCTGTAGCATCACTCAGTGTAGTGGCAACCAAGGTCCGGTAGCATCACTCAATCAATGGCAACACATAACTAGGTTTCTGTAGCATCACTCAATGCAGTGGCAATATATAACTAGGTTTATGTAGCATCACTCAATGCAGTGGCAACACATAACTAGGTTTATGTAGCATCACTCAATGCAGTGGCAATATATAACTAGGTTTCTGAAGCATCACTCAAAGCAGTGGCAACACATAACTAGGTTTCTGTAGCATCACTCAATGCAGTGGCAACATATAACTAGGTTTCTGTAGCATTACTCAAGGCAGTAGCAACACATGACTAGGTTTCTGTAGCATCACTCAATGCAGTGGCAACACATGACAAAGTACCGTAGCATCACTCAATGCAGTGGCAACACATGACAAAGTTCCCGTAGCATCACTCAGTGCAGTGGCAACACATGACAAGGTTTCCATAGCATCAATCAATGCAGTGGCAACACATGACTAGGTTTCCGTAGCATCCCACAATGCATTGGCAACACATGACTAGGTTCCTGTAGCTTCACTCAATGCAGTGGCAATACATGACTAGGTTTCTGTAGCATTACTTAATGCAGTGGCAACACACGACTAGGTTCCAGTAGCATCACTCAATGCAGCAGAAACTATGAACAGTGAAAAGACAGATAATGCAATGGTAAGTACAAGTAATAAGATTTACTGGCCTCTCAGAAACGACACCACAGGACTCTCTAGAGGGAAAGAGAAGAGGAAGACCAAGAAAGAATTGTATACATAGTCTGGCTAAATAGACAGACCTCAGACATGCAAACATTAGGTTCATTGCATGTGATCAAGAGAGGTATGGGTTCCTGGGAAAACAAGAACAGACCCTCTGCCTGCCTAAAAGCCTGTCGTAAGAGTCGACTAATTAGGATGTTCCTTTAAAGTATGCCTGAGAGGCAGGGAACAAAAAGTCTGCATGCAAATAAGTCAGACCTGTGAAACAGATGTGCATGCAACACTCAGGTTTTGGAACAGGACTAGAGTCCAGAAGTGGACGAACAACCAGCACTTTATGCCGGAATTTGCAGCCAGTGAACGCGAAGAGGAAAAAGAATAACATTAGTCACATAATATAGTACTAATATCCCACATAATATAGTACCCAATATCCCACATAATATAGTACCCAATATCCCACATAATATAGTACCCAATATCCCACATAATATAGTACCCAATATCCCACATAATATAGTACCCAATATCCCACATAATATAGTACCCAATATCCCACATAATATAGTACCCAATATCCCACATAATATAGTACCCAATATCCCACATAATATAGTACCCAATATCCCACATAATATAGTACCCAATATCCCACATAATATAGTACCCAATATCCCACATAATATAGTACCCAATATCCCACATAATATAGTACCCAATATCCCACATAATATAGTACCCAATATCCCACATAATATAGTACCCAATATCCCACATAATATAGTACCCAATATCCCACATAATATAGTACCCAATATCCCACATAATATAGTACCCAATATCCCACATAATATAGTACCCAATATCCCACATAATATAGTACCCAATATCCCACATAATATAGTACCCAATATCCCACATAATATAGTACCCAATATCCCACATAATATAGTACCCAATATCCCACATAATATAGTACCCAATATCCCACATAATATAGTACCCAATATCCCACATAATATAGTACCCAATATCCCACATAATATAGTACCCAATATCCCACATAATATAGTACCCAATATCCCACATAATATAGTACCCAATATCCCACATAATATAGTACCCAATATCCCACATAATATAGTACCCAATATCCCACATAATATAGTACCCAATATCCCACATAATATAGTACCCAATATCCCACATAATATAGTACCCAATATCCCACATAATATAGTACCCAATATCCCACATAATATAGTACCCAATATCCCACATAATATAGTACCCAATATCCCACATAATATAGTACCCAATATCCCACATAATATAGTACCCAATATCCCACATAATATAGTACCCAATATCCCACATAATATAGTACCCAATATCCCACACATAATATAGTACCCAATATCCCACATAATATAGTACCCAATATCCCACATACATATAGTACCCAATATCCCACATAATATAGTACCCAATATCCCACATAATATAGTACCCAATATCCCACATAATATAGTACCCAATATCCCACATAATATAGTACCCAATATCCCACATAATATAGTACCCAATATCCCACATAATATAGTACCCAATATCCCACATAATATAGTACCCAATATCCCACATAATATAGTACCCAATATCCCACATAATATAGTACCCATAATATCCCACATAATATAGTACCCAATATCCCACATAATATAGTACCCAATATCCCACATAATATAGTACCCAATAATATAGTACCCAATATCATAATATAGTACCCAATATCCCACATAATATAGTACCCAATATCCCACATATATATAGTACCCAATATCCCACATAATATAGTACCCAATATCCCACATAATATAGTACCCAATATCCCACATAATATAGTACCCAATATCCCACATAATATAGTACCCAATATCCCACATAATATAGTACCCAATATCCCACATAATATAGTACCCAATATCCCACATAATATAGTACCCAATATCCCACATAATATAGTACCCAATATCCCACATAATATAGTACCCAATATCCCACATAATATAGTACCCAATATCCCACATAATATAGTACCCAATATCCCACATAATATAGTACCCAATATCCCACATAATATAGTACCCAACTATCCCACATATCCCAATATCCCACATAATATAGTACCCAATATCCCACATAATATAGTACCCAATATCCCACATAATATAGTACCCAATATCCCACATAATATAGTACCCAATATCCCACATAATATAGTACCCAATATCCCACATAATATAGTACCCAATATCCCACATAATATAGTACCCCAATATCCCACATAATATAGTACCCAATATCCCACATAATATAGTACCCAATATCCCACATAATATAGTACCCAATATCCCACATAATATAGTACCCAATATCCCACATAATATAGTACCCAATATCCCACATAATATAGTACCCAATATCCACATAATATAGTACCCAATATCCCACATAATATAGTACCCAATATCCCACATAATATAGTACCCAATATCCCACATAATATAGTACCCAATATCCCACATAATATAGTACCCAATATCCCACATAATATAGTACCCAATATCCCACATAATATAGTACCCAATATCCCACATAATATAGTACCCAATATCCCACATAATATAGTACCCAATATCCCACATAATATAGTACCCAATATCCCACATAATATAGTACCCAATATCCCACATAATATAGTACCCACATAATATAGTACCCAATATCCCAATAATATAGTACCCAATATCCCACATAATATAGTACCCAATATCCCACATAATATAGTACCCAATATCCCCACATAATATAGTACCCAATATCCCACATAATATAGTACCCAATATCCCACATAATATAGTACCCAATATCCCACATAATATAGTACCCAATATCCCACATAATATAGTACCCAATATCCCACATAATATAGTACCCAATATCCCACATAATATAGTACCCAATATCCCACATAATATAGTACCCAATATCCCACATAATATAGTACCCAATATCCCACATAATATAGTACCCAATATCCCACATAATATAGTACCCAATATCCCACATAATATAGTACCCAATATCCCACATAATATATATAGTACCCCCAATATCCCACATAATATAGTACCCAATATCCCACATAATATAGTACCCAATATCCCACATAATATAGTACCCAATATCCCACATAATATAGTACCCAATATCCCACATAATATAGTACCCAATATCCCACATAATATAGTACCCAATATCCCACATAATATAGTACCCAATATCCCACATAATATAGTACCCAATATCCCACATAATATAGTACCCAATATCCCACATAATATAGTACCCAATATCCCACATAATATAGTACCCAATATCCCACATAATATAGTACCCAATATCCCACATAATATAGTACCCAATATCCCACATAATATAGTACCCAATATCCCACATAATATAGTACCCAATATCCCACATAATATAGTACCCAATATCCACATAATATAG